TGAAGTCCACAAGTCTTAAAGTTGCCAAGGTTGGACACCCCTGCTTTAGTGCAATCAAAACCAAACTTTCTGGGGCATCTAAAAAAACCATTGTATCTTTCTCTGAACATTTGTTTTTGCTGCAACAGATGCTTCTCTTTCAACCATGTCTAAATATGAAAGCTCTCCTTCTGGTCATGTCACGAAGGGAGAACAGAACAGAAACTTTATTTTGGTCACTGACCAATAAAAATACATTCTATAAAATACACAAAGCAAAATTATCTCATACCACCAATAATTGTTAGCAACCATTTGTGGGGTGAAGCTTTTAGACATTTTTTTTAGACATTTTAAACATTTAGACATTTTGCTACTTTTGGAGAAATAAATTTATCTTGCTTGTTTAAGAGAGAATGCAAATAAAAATCACCGGAATGCCCTGGAAAAATTGAATTTTAATAAGAAGAGGGTAATCACTGAGTGACAAATGTCTCTGTAGAACTGACATTACAAAAGAAAATTGGCTGTGATTTCTATAGCACCTGAGCCATTGTGTTTAATATGGGATTTTTCTAAATTTCCCTTCTCAAACAGTTGAAGGGGAGAGCATTAAATCCAGCTAAATATAAAGCTCTCCTGAATTTGGAGATCATAATGTGATATAAATATGTATCTGGCATAGGCACAAAGATTTGGTTATTAATATTCATAATGTATATAACCATGTTGTACTGGAATCTGATCACACAATACTATCATATTAATTATACAATCACATAATTTTTACTGATCCAGCTTCTCTACGGTTCTTCCAGTGAAGCCATCTTAATCTTAGGATCAGATCAAGTTAGATCAAATTAAGGCAAAGTTTCTTAGAAATAGAAGGCCAAACAGAAACTGCTGCCTTTTCTCAATAATATGATGGTTAAATATAGGAAAACTCATGTAAAAGTTAATATCAGCCCTGGAACTCGGGTGCCATAGAAACCACAGCCCATATACTTTTGTACTGTCAGTTTTAAGGATATTTTCCACTAGTGATTACCTCCTTTTTATTCAAATTTCTAGGGCATTCTGATAATTATTATTTGTATTGTCTGTTAAACAATGAAGATAAATTTATTTCTCTAAAAGTAGCAAAATATTGCCGTGTTGTGTGAAAGCTTCCCCCACAAATGGTTGCTGCCAGTTATTGATGTTAAGGGATAATTACGATTTGTTTGTCTTATATAGAATGTATTTTTATTGGCCAAAGACGGAAATAAAGTTTCTGCTCCGTCCATGTGGGGAGCTCTCATCTGTTGCCTGGAGGGCCCGATCCTCCTCTATCTCCTCCTGGGAAGTCAGAGAAGACAGGATCGCGAGTGCGACGAGCCCTCTCCACGCAACCGGCTGGAGATATTTCTGCGAGGAGGCACCTGCAACCCATCGGTCGCCGACCCGCTCAACTCTCTTGTTCGCCCTTTGCCGTCTCGCTTCCCCTCCTTCCCCGGTCTCCTCGCTCGCCCGAATTTACTCGAATTTCCCTCACTCTCTCTCTCTCTCTCTCTTTTCATTCGGCCTCTACGCCCCTTATCCTACCGCCGCGTCTCCGCAAGGATCTCCCTCCGGCCCGTAAAAAGCGATGCAGTGCAGCGCCAGGCAATGCGGGTTGCGGCGCGTGCTCCGGGGCCCGCCGCTTGCAATTCCCCTCGGCAAACGCTGGGAGGCTGGCGCGGCCGCGCGCGCGAGGAGCCCCTGGGGACCCGGGCTGAGGTGGGGGGGAGGAGGAGGAGCGCGAGACTGGCTTTCAGAGCGCCTCGTCTGTTGGTCGCCTCGGGCGAAGCGGGGCTGTCCCGGCTCTAAAAAGCAGAGTTTCTCCGCGAGGTTGTTCCGCTCACGGCGCGAGTCCCGTTGGGTTCAAGGGGCCTTAAATCCCAGGTAAGGCTGCATAGAATGGCAGCTTGCGCCTTCCCTTTCCCGGCTGCCATCCTCTGCATGCTCACCCGGGGCAAAGGAAGGGACTTCTTTTGAACCCAACGCTTCGTCCCGCGCATCCCAGGTCGGACTCCTCGATCTCGTCTCTCGCTGGTTCCTCCTCCTCCACCACACCTTTTCTTTCCTCGGACGGTGCCCTCAGCTCAGACTGACCGCTCCGGCAGCGGAGCCGCTTCGCAAGTCGTGTGAATGCAAGTTCTCCGCTTTGCAGCGCCACTCCCCCTATCGCCGCCGCCGCAACCCGGGGCGAACGGGGGGAGTGGCGGGTGTCGGAGCGCCTGGCTCGTTGGCTGCTGCTGCTCCGAGCATCACACGTAGCCGAAGCGGCAGCGCGGGGGCTCCTCGTTGCCTCCTTCCTCCAGCCGCGGCTCCGACTCAGCCAATGGCAGCGCCGCGCAAGGCTCCCGAGCTGTTTACCCAACCTCGGCGCTCTTTTCCCGCCTCCCCCGCCCACCCGTCTCCCTTGTGAGCCCGGCGAGCAGCATCCTCCTTCGCCCAGCCAGGCTGAGGGGAGACAGGCAGCGGCGGGACCGGCGGCCAAGCGGCTCTGGCGGCTCTCCCTCGGGGCGTCGCGCGCTGCCTGCCGCAGCCCTGGCACGGCGCGCTCTCCCGCACCTGAGCGTAGAGATGAGGAGCTCCACCCGGCCCCGGAAGGGCCGCCTTGGGGACTCGCCGTGACGGGAATTCCGCTCCACAGCGCGGCCACGCTCCCGCTTTCTTGCTTCGGTGCGCAGGTTGTTGCGGCGGCGGCTCCTTCTCCGCTCGCCACCGCTCCTTCCTCCTGGAGGAGCCTTCGCTGGGCGGAAGGATGGGCTGCATCGGCTCCAGGACAGTAGGTAAGGAGAGGCGTGGTGGAGACGAGATGGAGGTTGCCGCAGTTTCTCCTTTCGGGCTCCTCGGGCGAGGCGTAGATCTGGCCGCCCTTTCGGTCCTGGAAGCTGGGCAGGGCACGACGGCCTGATGCGGTGAAGCGCCGAAGACGTGCGGCGGTCCAGGCGGAGCGCGCGCGTCCTTGTCTCGATTTTCGGCAGAGTGCGAGTCAGTCTGCGCCAGGACCGCGGAGAGGGGGACACCACCACCACCACCACCCGATCCTCGGAAGGCGCTGCCCGTCCCTTCCTGGCAGCCCCCCCCCTGGATGTGGCTTTTTACCCTCGCTCTGCCTTCTCTGCCCCCTGGAGGGAATTTCTTAGCTGAGGGATTGGCAGCGAGAGGCTTTCCCGGAAGCCTACAAGGCGCTTTTTTTTGGTTTGTTTTTTGGTGGGATGATTCGCAGAGAAGGTGTGTGTGTGTGTGTGTGTGGATATGCTTCCACCTGGCAGCTTCCACCCGGGGATGTCCTTATTGACATGGGGGTGGTGGGGGTGGAAAGATGGAGAGGTGGATGTCCCGCACCTCACACTTCGGTAAACCTGAAAAAAATAAAATAAATCAAAGGCAAGGCCACAGAGGCTTGTTACTTTTCTCTCTTCCTCATTGCAATTAGTATCATCAGAATCTATTTCTCTGCAGTGATAGCTGCACATCCCTCTCTCCCTCCCTCCTTTGTAGTTGCTGCCCACGCCTCAGCAGAGAACAGCCACTGGGTCCCTGCTACAAGAGAGAGCTGTGCCAGATCCATAGCTTCTTTGCGACTCCTTCCTTTAAAAAACCTACTGGGACCAGTCCATCTCTACCCAGTCTGGTTTGGGGTCCCAAGTTTCTCTTTGCAGAGAATTGCAAAATGAAATGCTTTTTACAGCATCCGTTGACAACTGTAACCTGAAATATATTACACTGGGTAGATTTGGGGTGCCCTTAAATGTATGCAGCCTTAGTCAGGTTAATCTTGATCCACCAGGAATTTTACTTAAGCAATAATCAATAGGAATTATACAATTCCATTTAATGAGACTTGTTGTGTAGATTTTTCCCAGTAGATTGAACTCTCTATCATTAATCAGTGATGTGGTGTAATTTTGGTATTTTGTGTCATTGGCACAGATACGTTTTGAGTAAACTACCTTCTTCCATACTATGTGAGATAATTAGCTTTCTAGCTATTATTTTATAATTATTTCTTTCCAGAGCTCTAAGGCTCATGAATCATTACAGAGTGGTCTGGGCATCCTATTTTAGCATTCCAACTCAAGAGACTGCAGTTGTTGTTGCATTTATTAAGGAGTAATCCCGTTAAATATTGTCAATTCAAAGTAAATATACCGAGGATCGTACTGCAAGATTCAGCAATCTTTTATTAATGTTGAACTTTATGACCTGGTTGAATGTGAACTTGCATTTGCAAATTTGTCCCAACTACCAATCCGTTTTTCTCCTCTGCCATTTCATATTTTTCTCTTTCCCTGTCCCTCAAGCATTAACTTTTTAGGAAGTACAGCACTAATCCGAATGGGAACTGTGATTAAGGGAAATTATATATAGGAATCTATTTAGAAGCTGAGGAGTCCAAGCCATATGGGCTAAACTGGATGTGACACAAGAAATTTGGGAATAGACTTGAAAGCGTACCCCCATGTGTGTGTGTGTGCGCGCACACACACACACACAAAGACGTGCTCTCTCTCACGCACACACACATGCACACTGCTCACATCTAGCTATGCATGCTTTCCCTGCAGAAGAAAAGAGTTTGTGGCCACATTGCTTAATATTTGGAAAGAGAGTAGATTGTTTGATTGAAGGAAAAGTTTTTAAAAGCTTTCCATTTCTATCCTGTGGCTGCTGTTCTCAAATTTAAGAAGGTGAGGAAATGATCATGGTTTAAAATAGTCCGTTGTAAACTGTTCACAAATTGCTATTGTCAAGTCTAGTTTTGCACTATATTGTAAACAGACTACTGACACATACTGAAGGTTCAATCCAAAAACATTGAAATTAGTGAGAGTTGTGCCTTTGAATTCAGTAAAATATGGATTGCATCCTTGCATTGGGTTTAATGATGGTTCTCTTCTCCCAGTTGTATCTATCTCTGTGTCCTACATATTTCTGCATATATTCTGCCATTATATACTAATGTTGAAAATCTTCTTTGTGGAGATTCAAATTCTCAGAGATTTAGGTAGACCAGGAGAAAAACAGCCATTATACATAAAAATCACCTAATACAAGTTGTATGGAATTTCCTGGTTGATTAATGCATGGGTGTCAGTTTAGGAAATAAGATTTTGAAGTATTGAGCATATATCAGACAGCCAAATTATAAAGGATTGCATTTAGAGATAAATGCATTTTGAATAACATTTTAAGATGCGCCACCAGATCTTAAGAAAGATTATTGCACATCTTGCCCGTTGGCATCTTATTGATGGTATTAGCATGCAGTGCTGCGGTTCTTCATTAGTTGTTGATGGATCTGATGAAGTGTAGTCTTGGGTGAAAACTGATTCAGCCATACATTTGTTTAAAGTGTCATAGAGATCCTTACTGTTTTTGTTAAAATATCTATTGGCAATTTTTTGTCTAGAAATAGAAACTGTTGAATGGATGGACAGTAAAGTACTGTAGAATAAAAGCTGCAAAACATTGTTGAATGGATTAGATGAGAGAGAGAGAGAGAGAGAGAGAGAGAGAGAGAGAGATTTAGTGTTTACTATTTTATGGTAAAATATATTAAAGTTGGGTTGCTCAGTGTTGATTTTCATTGGAATACTTTATAAGCCCAGTAAAATAAGTAACAAAAAATAAAATTAACTTTTGTTTATTATAAAATGCATAAGGATATATGCATTTATATCTATCTATCTATCTATCTATCTATCTATCTATCTATCTATCTATCTATCTATCTATCTATAAGCGAAATACCACTCACACATCATCACAATATTTCCAGAACCGTAAATCCTACAAACTTGAAATTTGGCACGTATGTTCCTCTTGGCTTCTAGGTGCTCACTAAGAAAGGATTTTTCAAAATGACCATCAGAGCATTAATATTTCGTATATTATTAACACGTTCTGATGCTAAGGAGTTCTACTCCCCCTCCCCACCTGAAAAGAAATCTGTTCCAAATGCAAAACACAAGCAGAGGAGAGGAGTTTCAGTTTTAGTTTCACAGCAGCAAGCAGCTTTAGTACAGAACAGTTGAGTTAAGACACACCCAAGCTCCTTGCTGTCTCCTTGCTCACACAGCAAATATTGTTTCAGTTTTCAAACAGCCCTCAACTCACACACTGACAGGACGCTAGCCAGATTTCCCACCCCCCTTATTTTCCTCCACCAAAACTAAGCCCAACCACATAGTTTCATAGTGAAGCACAGGTATCAAGCTAGTTTACAATACAATCTTACACTTTGTATTTAAAAGTAGATTACATAGAATTTAGTGGGATTTACTTCCATGTAAGTGTGCTTAGAATAATTCTTTGCCATACCCACTACAGAGGTGCAATACCTTATGGGCGTGAGAAACGAAAGAGCTGGACTAGGGAAATGCCAAAAAAAAACATGGAAATCTTAAGTATACTTTGCAATCTGTACCTCCTAAGCTAACCAGTGAGAACAGCCACTAAAATAAAATGCCATTTAGCTAATAAGACATTTGACAGCTCAGGTAAGATCTGCTCAGATTATCCCAAGGGTATCCCAAACTCTTCAGATCATTGACTTCTTCATAAAATTTCAGATTGATCATCACCCCTCCCCCCAAATACTTATTACCATATTTTTCTGACTATAAGATGCTCCGGATTGTAAGACGCGCATTAGCTTTAGAGAAGGAAAACAAGGGGAAAAAAATCTGCCTCTGCCTCCCAGCAATTTGCCTCCTTGCAGTAAACAGCAAACAGTTTGGTGAGCTTCAGCACAGCCTAATTTAGCATGAGCAGCTGATAGGCAGGTGGGATCAGCCTATCACCCATCAGCTGCGGGGATCACCACCATCACCGCCCATTGCCATGCGCCCCATTTTTGGCTTCTTTGTGTCCCATTCAACCTCCATGCGTCTTGTTTTTGTTCCGTTCCAAGCAGCGGGAACGAGCTAAAAATGGGACACACGGAGGCCAAAAATGGGATGTGCGGAGGCCGAAAATGGGGCATGCAGAGACCAAAAACGGCACACGGAGGTGGCGATAGACAGCGACAGCGGTGATGGACAGCGGTGATCCCCGCAGCCTGGAAAGCTGATGGGCGGTATTCCAGGAGGCTGATCAAACCGCCTATCAGCTACTCGTGCTAAATCAGGCTGTGTGAAACTGACCAGGCTGTTTGCTGTTTGCTGCAAGGAGGCAAATTGCTGGGAAGCAGAGGCCGGCGGTTGGGGGCCAGCAATATTCACTCTAGAAGACACACAGACATTTCCACCCACTTTTGGGAGTCGGGGAAGTGCATCTTATAGGCCGGAAAATACAGTATATGAAAACAATGTAATAAATGCTACTTTAACTTATAGTACTACAAATAATAATAAAATAATAATATTCATTCCTTAGATAGCTCCATAGGAATCAATATTGACCATTTTGAAAAATCCTAATCTATCAAATCCTCAAGAACAGTTAGTCAATAATAGGCTGCTCTTTAAATAAATTAAAGAGAAGATGATCATAAGCATTGAATATTTATACATTAAAATAGTATTTGTATTAAACTATTATAAACTATTATAAAAAAAACTTTTGTTTTTATTCCAAGCAATTTGGGCTGATGTATATAGTCTTTTCCCCTACAATTCTCTATTCATTTGATAATCTACACTTAATATCCTGCTTTTGTTTGCAGCTCCCTGCAGTTATAGATCACAAAAATATAATAAATAAAGAAATAATAAATCTTACTTGATGACAAAATTCCTGTATGTTCCTGACTGTTGCTCTAATTCTTACTTCTGCAATCAAA